AAGCGTGCAAATTGCCATGCAAACGGGCAGGACGTTAAACCGAGCGGGCAGAGCGGAGGACAAACGATCTAGCACGGACGACAATGTCCAGTACAACAATATCCCCTCGTGCACGGGTCCCAGAACCCAATTATCTCGCATCGGTGTCCTGGAACAATATTATCATTAACGCAGCAAGTGTAGATGTGATTACCTCTCATGTCAATCCCCAGCTCGCAGCACCGAGTGTTTGGTTCTGGGCACTCGATGTTATTGCAATCAGAGAAGGAAAAGAGATGCACGTCGCCAGGATGTTCATGCCCGTGCTTCTTGATATCGATCGGTAGATCCTGCGCTTCGTCCTTGCTGATGTCTGCGGTCTGCGTCCCGCCGGGGCTCAGCGCCCGTGACTGGAGCAGCCCCACTCCGTCGGCCTCGCTCGTGGCGTCGTCGCAGTTGTGCGAGTCGTCCTCCACCAGGCGGCGCTCCTCCAGGGTTTCGGTCATGCCGTCGGCGGCGACGCCGCCGCGGCCGACGAGCAGGATGGCGAACGCTGCTGCAAACACCGCGACGTTCATGTCGGTAACGGTGAGGCAACAGGGGCTTGTCGGCAACACGCGCAAAACCCCGCGTTCCAAATGCCTGAAGACTTGCCACAATGTCTTGGGCAAAACTTGAGCCACTGGCTTGAGCCAGAATGGCCACGGACCCCTGCAGGCCCAACGCCTTGAACACTGGCGGGGGTTCAGAAATGGTCAGACTTCGGCAGCCAAGCTCTGCAGCCACCCACCGTCGATCAGACCCGCCGACGCAGGGCTCACAGATCGCCATAGACTTAAGTCGGGCCTGTCCCTCTACAGGTGGAATGCTCAAAAATAGTCACAAAACAGTCAGGGAACTATTTTTTGACCATCTTTGAGCATCTTGGAGTATTTTCTTGTATCTTTAAATTGTCGCCCACGATCCCCCTGTAGGGGGACAGGCCCGACCTAACCATAGACTGCCAGGAACGAACTTCGAGCCAACGCGTTGAGCCATTCGCTGGGGGACCCACCGTCGATCAGACCCGCCGACGCTTAAGTCGGGCGTGTCCCCCCCCATGATGATTTTCGACGAAAAACAAAGATTCGCAAACAAATACTCCAAACTGGACAAACAACTACTCAAAAAAGAATCCCCAGACTGTTTCTTGATTGCTTTTGAAGGGCAAGGCCCGACTCAAGGCCGACGCAGGGCTCAAATATCGCAACAGACTGCTGGGAGCGAACGTCGGGCCCACGCGCTGAGCCCTTCGCTCGGGGCCCTGCCGTCCACTCTCGGCCGCCTGGAGACCCCTCCCGGGCCCCCCTCCTCCTCCTCCCTCCCTCCCTCCCTCCCTCCCTCCCTCCTCCCTCCCCCCTCCTTCCTCCTCCTCCTCCTCCCTCCCTCCTCCCTCCCTCCCCTCCCTCCCCCCTCCCTTCCCTCCCTCCCTCCCTCCCTCCCTCCCTCCCTCCCTCCCTCCCTCCCTCCCTCCCTGCCTCCCTCCCCTCGATCCTCCCTCCCCCCTCACCTCCTCCCTCCTCCCTTTCCCTCCCTCCCTCCCTCCCTCCCTCCCTCCCTCCCTCCCTCCCCTCCATCCTCCCTCTCCTCCTCCTCCCCTCTCCTCATCCTCCTCCCTCCTCCTCCTCCTCCTCCTCCTCCTCCTCCCTCCTCCTCCTCCTCCTCCTCCTCTCTCTCCTCCTCCTCCTCCTCCTCCTCCTCCTCCTCCTTCCTCCTCCTCCTCTCCTCCTCCTCCTCCTCCTCCCTCCATCTCCTCCTCCTCCATCTCCTCCCTCCTCCTCCTCCTCTTCCTCCCTCCTCCTCCTCCTCCTCCATCCTCCTCCTCCCTCCCCCTCCTCCTCCTCCCTCCTCCTCCGCCTCCTCCTCCTCCTCCTCCTCCTCCTCCTCCTCCTCCTCCCTCCTCTCCTCCTCCTCCTCCTCCTCCCATCCTCCCCCTTCCCCCCCCTTTCATCTCCTCCCTCCTCCCTCCTCCCTCCTCCCTCCTCCTCCTCCTCCTCACTCCTCTCCTCCTCCTCCCCTCCTCCTCTCCTCCGCCCTCCTCTCCTCCTCCTCCTCCTCCTCCTGCTCCTACTCCTCCTCCTCCTCCTCCGTGCCCAGGATGCGAACAGCCGTGCCCAGGGAAGGGTTATGTCGGGCCTGTCCCCCTACAGGGGGATTTTGGACGAAACATCAAACATATCCAAACAAGACTCAGAAAGATGCCCAAAAATACTGAAACACTGGTCCCCAGACTATTTTTTGACAGTTTTTGAATATCCCCCCTGTACAGGGACAGGCCCGACTTAAGGGAAGGGCCCAAACAAAAAATCCCTGGGCCGCAGATCGCGAACAGAGCTGTCGGAGGTCTGAGATCGCAGATCGAAGCTTTTGGATGTCCCTGGCTCTGGGGCGCCCGCACCGTCACGCTTGCCCCACTCCCAAAAGAACAACAACATGTCTTCGAAGAAGACGTTTCTCGTTTGCTCCTCGCGCAAATGGTCTTGCACCGATGCACCGGTTCCGCCACACATGCATTTTCCTCGCTGTGCGTGTCCAGGGTTTTGCGTCGGGCCTAGCAGGCTGTGGGGGGCTGCGTGCGACAGGCAGTCGGACTGGAGAGATGTGGTGCTTTGCGAGTTCACTGACCTTCCTCTTCCCACCCCTCTCCAAAATATTCAGCTGACGAAGCGCAACGTCCAGATCCGCATGGAAAAACTTGCTTCCGACCCCGAATACGAAAGCAGCCATCATCTGCAAACCCGGCAGAGGCCTCCGAAAGCACAGTCTGTCATAACACGGTGGGGGAACCCCTATTTTCATGCTAACGCATCCTTGGGGGAGGACCCGAACCTCCGGCGACCTGAAACAAATCACGACCTGGCCATCGCTCGGACGTCCATTCCCTGTGTTTTTGTTCGGTTTCGTGCGTGGTTCTTTTTTCGCCAAATGATCGCCGAACGAAAAATGCACACGTCCGAGCGATGCCAAGCGACGGCACACCGGACTCGCTTCCGGCCTCCGGGAGGCAGCCGTCGGGCTGCGGGGCCGTCCAACACGGCCCGCGGCAAAACGCAGTTCCCGAGGCTGTGGCCGAAAGCTCTGGGCCCGCGCCATGAGAAGAGCCACGACGTCGGAGGTCTGGAAAAGGAGAGCTCCACCTGAGAACTTTGTTTAGGGTGGAGGGCTCAGGGCGAAGTCCATACGGGCTTTTGCACCTCGAAAAACAGTCCGTCTTGTGATTCACCTTTTGCAGATTCAAACCTCGAAAATCAATCCGGCATTTCAGATTTCACCCCTTGCCCTCCACCCGAAGAAAATGCTCGGTCCACACAAACAGGCGTTTGTCTCCAATCCGGGATGTGGGCATCGGGCCGAAGAGGCGGGGGGAGGTCTGGGACCGGACTTGGGGAAACCAAAAGACACCGATACCGCGACTCCCTGGACTTCTCCCGGGGGTGCGTTCTGACCAGAATTTCGAGGCGAATCCAGCGGTGGCGACGAGGGCCTCCCAGAAGGCCCACCAGCAGGAAAACGGGCGAAGGGCAGAGGTGTGGGTACCTCTTCCTCCTCTGAGGGCCGGTGCTCAGTCGATCTGCCTCTACCACTCGCGCCTCCAGCGCTGCGCCCGATGATGATGATGATGCTGATGATGCTGATGATGCTGATGATGATGACGATGACGATAATGACAATGCCGATGATGCTGATGATGATGACGAGCATGATGATGATGATGATGATGATGATGATGATGATGATGATGATGATGGTTATGATGATGATGATGATGATGATGGTTATGATGATGATGATGATGATGATGATGATGCTGATAATGATGATGATACTGACGACGATGATGACGATGACGATGATGCTAATGCTGATGATGCTGATGCTGATGAGTTGATGATGAGGAACATGGCGACAATGAGAGCAGAGGCAATGAGAGGGAGCAGGGAGGAGGAGGAGGAGGAGGAGGAGGAGGAGGAGGAGAGGAGAGGAGAGGAGAGGAGAGAGGCGGGGCGCTGTCTTTTCAAAACGAGGACCCAGCACCACAGGATGGTTGAGGAAAGATGTAAGGTATATGACAGCCGCTGAAAGAGGCCAACAAAGGCATCATCATCGCCTTCGCCACCCAAATAGGACCATGCGGACCAACGCCTGAGTCAGTTTCCCTGCTTGGCCCCGATGGGGCAACTACCACGAACATTAGAAGCTGCGATCGTGAGTCGACAAGAGCATCCCACCTAGGCCAACACGCGACAACCAGGGCCTGGACCAATCCTCTTCCCTCCTCCATCTTATCCTACCTCCTCATGCATCTTCCCCCCCCTCCATCCCCCACGCGTTGTCCTCTCCTTCCCCCGTGCGCCCTCCCTAATTACTCCGACTTCCTCATATTATATTAGTTGTCCTTCCCCGTCTCCTCTGATAGATTTTCTACCTTTGCAAATTTCTACCTTCATCCTCCTGCGCCATCCATCCTCACATCCTCCCATCCTCCCGTTCCCCTTCCCCCTCATCGTGTCACATTCAACTACATTCAACTCCCCCCGCGTCATCGTCATTCCCGTCCCCCTCTCTTTTCTCTCATCCATCCTTCCTCCATTTTCCATCCTGCCTCTGACTCTTCTCCTCCCGCCCCCGCATCCCGGACCAATCAAGATTCATTCCTGCCTCCCCCCGTTCTCTCTTCTGCTTTTCCTTCCCCTCCCTGTTCCCCAACCCTCGCCCCATCTCGTCTCCCTCTTCATCCTCCTCCCCCAGCGGCGCGCGTGGGTCTCCGCCGCGGCCAAAGCATTGTGGTCCCTATAAGCGTCCGATGGAAAGGAACACGGCGGCGAAGGCGTAGCCGGCCGCGAACACCAGAAGGCCCCCTGTCGTCCTCCTCCCATCCCCCCCCTTCCCCTTTCGCCCTTCCGTCGACGACGAAAACGACGACGCTACGGACGGCGACGGCGACGGCGAGGACGACGGCGGCGATGCCCGACGGGTACCGCCTCCAGCTCGGGGTCCGCCCCGCCGAAGCGGAAAGAGGGCACCTGTTGGCTCCCACTGCCACGCCGCACCCCCCCAGCGCCAAGAGGAAAAGTCGAACGGGCTCCTCCCCCATCCTCTTTTCCTTCCTTCCAGCTCACCCACCCCCCATCCCGCTGGTCTCCTCTTCCCCCACATCCCCTTCTTCTTCCCAATTCCCCTCGCCACCGTCTTCGTCGTCGATGTCCTGTTCCCACTCCTTTTCATCCTCCTGCCGCTACTCCTCCAAGTCGAACTTCAACCCCTCCTCCTCCCCCCCATTCGCTTTCCTTCTCCAACTCTGCATGTCATTCGTCGTCGTGGTCGGGAGGGAGGAGGGGAGGAAAGAGGGGTACGGGCGGCCACAACCGCATACTGGCATGTGGTTCTGGTCGCTGGCACGGTAGGGAGGGGGTGGGGGCGGTAAGGGGCACTCACACTCAACTCATTCTGAAACGGCAGAAGGAAGGGGGGAAGGTGGTGGTACAGCGGCGGAGCCATTTAGCCGTAGCAGTGTACTTACCGTCGACATAGCACCTTGCAGGTAACAACGCACACGAGACAGTTTGTCTGTAACGCTGTAGACGTAGCGCTGTGCCTGCAGCGGTGTACATGGCGTACTTTGTCGGTAACGCTGTAGACGAAATGCCCGTTCATCGTCTCCACAGCGCGTGGGCACTGTAGACATGTATTTAGCTTGTAAGGGACGTACAATAGAACCCTTGTCCGTATGAATGCGAAGCAGGTGCTAGCGGCATACAAAAGCAGATCGTATGTTGGAATGCCATAATCAACTGCTCCTGGCAGATCGGTCTGGCCAAAACTATTGCGCCGTCCGGTCGCAGCCTACGTCGAACAAGCGTTCGTCCTGGAGCACGTCGAGAATGAATTTGGCCACCCCTGGCTGGCCTTCAGGGGCTGCGAGGTATGCGCGCTCGAACACGTCATCATGGTGCACCGGGTCGTGAAACTGGTAGGCTCGAGCGGTCTCTTCTTGGTCCATGATATCAGGCTGCTTTTTAAAACTAGTTGTCGACGGGATCGACGATGGTACTCTTGACGCTGATAGCCACCGATCCCGATCGGGATGCCCAGCAAATCGCTTTGGCATCCCACGCGCCCAACATACTCTCGAGGCCGTTGTGGCGACTCTGGCCTTGAACCCCGATCATTCGGGCGAGCACCCCTTGCTGTAGTCCTGCGTGTTCAGAAACTTCGTTTTGTTCTTGTAGCCTGGCTGCTTGTGCCAGTGGCTACCGTAGCTCAGGTGGTTGCTCTTGTCGCTCCGCGGGTGGTCCTCGTAACTCCGCCAGCGGATCCACTCGCAGCCGCCGGAGCTCAGCATGTTGCCCAAGTGGTTCAGCACGTGGTCTTCGTAGCTGGGTTGGTGACTCTCGAAGGTCCGCTCGTGGCCCAAGGAACTCAAATCGTCGCCCTGATAGCTCTGATGGGGGTGTCTCGTAGATCTGCATGTGGCCCGCGTGGCCCTCGCTTTTCAGCTGGAGGCTCTGGAAGTTCTGCTCCTGGCCCTTGCAGTTCAGCTCGTCGACCAGGTAGCTCGGCAGACGGACCTCGTATTTTTTTGTGGCCCACGTAGCTCACGCTGTGGCTCTCGTAGCTCAACAGGTGGCCGTCGTAGCTGGGCTGGTGGCGCGCGAAAATATGTCGGTGGCCTTTCGCAGTTCAGAGCGTCGTGCTGATAGCTTAGCCGGTGGCCCTCGTAGCTCAGCTTGTGGTCCTCGTAGCCCTTGTGGCTCTCGTCTCGTAGTTCAGCCTGTGGTTCTCGTGGCTCCGCTGGCAGACCTCGCAGCTCCGTTTGTGGCTCTTGTGGTTCAGCCGGTGGTCCTCGTAACCCTGCTTGTGGCTCTCGTAATTCAGCCCGCGGCCCTCGTAGCTCAGGGGGTGAACCTCGTAGCTCTGTCGGCAGGGCTTGCATCTGGCAGCAATTCTACCTCAACTGGTGGCCCTCGTAATTCCGCCGGCGGTCGACGTAGCCGTGCCCGTGGCCCTCGCATCTCAGCTCGCAGCCCTGGTAGCTCAGCTGCTGGCGTGGTCTTCGTAACCGAAGTGGTGTCTCTCGAAATCTTGCTCCTGGCCATTGCAATTCAACCCGTTGCCCTTGTGGCCTTGCCGGGTGCTCGCGTAACTCTGCTTGTGGCCCGCGTAACCGGAAAGGGTCAGTAGAAACCCCCGCCCCAATAAATTGATTTTTCGGCGGCCTCACTCACGGATTAGGAATTCCATCAACAAAGGGAAACTCATTCTTTATCCCCGTTGCGCCCGCCAGCAGCTACAATTACGATTGCAGGTACGATTGCGGCGACTACTGGTTAGTCACCATGCCTCAGGAGCGCTCTCATGGAAAGCCTTTGTGCAAAAACTTGGTCGTCAGAGGTCTTGTCCTGAGAACTCCATCCCGAGAAAGACTGTTGAAATTTAGGCCCCGCGCGGGCCCTCCACAATGTACATTCACAGCTTGGTCGTCGGCGACGCGGACGCGGAGGACGAACCTTTACATGTAAATCGTAACTATGATCGCTTGCGTTGCAACTTACCTGCAAACAAAGATATATCACTCGACTGACTGCGAGACCTGGACTGAGCGACGAATGCGATCTGTGTTGCAATCCCATATACATTCTGTATAATAGCATACGATACTCGACTCGACTGGAGTAGCTTGATTGTATGTTATAGTAGAGCATTGTATACTGCATCGCTTGAGAGCATGTATAGAACATTACCTTGAACCGTACTATACAATATCACAATACTGTATAACGTACAAACCCAAATCTAATACATGATAGTCACTACGTTAAATTCTTTTTTAGTTTTATCATATAGGACACACGAAAATTTACTGACATGATGGTTGCTACGTTAAGTTATAGTCCATGGCGTTACGCGATACTCTGATATAGCATGCGTGTGATATAAGGCACGATGCTTTAGTATGCCATGCATTTGTATGTATGCATGTTTAATTACACACATCTACACCTACACATATACACATATCATACGTGCGGACATCATTCTCAACACATGCGTATATATGTAAAACTGCATTACCCAGAGCGGCAAACGATCGGGGGAAACTAACCAGCGGGCCGCATCGCGGGCGCCGGTGCTGAATATGCGCATCTCGTTTATATGTGTGCACAGCCGCACAGAGCAATCTTCCCACGTGCGCTACGAAGTGAAAGAGGAGGTGGCGAGCCGCGCCAGGGCAACGAATGTGTCGGTTTTTACACACATATAATATGTATATATATATATATATATATATATATATATATATATATATCCTAGAACCACGCGCGCGCTACGCGCGCGCTTAGGTTCTAGCTTCGTCCGGGGCAACGGCCAAACAACGGACGAGGAGGTTGAAGGCTGAATGCACTTCGGTTATTCGTCGAGTTTCGTGGTCGTGGTTCGAAAAGCTTTCTGGGCGCTCCTCGCCCCCAGGCGGCCCGAGGCGGCCGAAAACGACACCTCTTCCTCGTCCTCCTCTTTCCCCCTGCTCTTCCTCCTCTCCTCCTACTCTTCCTCCTCCCCCGTCCCCTCTTTTTCCCCCTTTCCCCTCCTCCCCTCTTTCCGCCCCCTTCCTCCCTCTCCTTTTCCTTTTTTCCTACTCTCCTCTCCTCTTTCTCTGCCTCCTTCCTACCGCCTCCTCCTCCTCCTTTCCTCTAACTTTCCCCTCCTCCTCCTGATCATCCTCCTCGCTTTCCAACTAACTCCCTTCCTCCTCTCTCCTTCACCAGGCCCCCCCCTCTCATCCTCCTCCTCCTCCTCCTCCTCATCATCATCATCATCAACATCACCATCGCCATCGCCATCACCAGCATCATATTCATCATGTTCCTCCTCCTCATCATCATCCTCCTCTCCCTCCTCTTCCTTTTCCTCCTCCTCTTCCCCCTCCTCCTCCTTCCTCCTCTCCGCCCCCCTCCTGTCTCGTCGTCTTCGTCCCCTCCTCCTCTCCTCCTCCCCCCCTCCTCCTCCCTCCTCTTCCTCCTATTTCTCTTCCTCCTGTTCAGACTTTTACATGGCTCGCCTAAAAGGCACTGCGACGGCCGCGCCAAAGCACTTGGGCCACATCGGTTATAATTTAACGGGAACACTCGGGGCCGACAGCCTCCATCTCCATCTTCTCTTCCTCCTCTTTTCTCCTCTTCCTCCCCATCCCCCCCCCCCCCTCCTCCTAGCTCCTCCTTCCTCCATCTCTTACCTCCTTCCCCATTTTTCCTCCTTCTCTTTCTCCTTCTTCCTTCTCTCCTCCTCCTCCTCCTCCTCTCTCCTGCCCCTCTCCTCCCCCCCTCTCCTCTCCCTCCTCCTCCTCCCACCTTCCTCCCTTCCTCCTGCACTTCCCCTTCTCTCATCCTTCTCCCGTCATCGCCATCGTCATCTTCATCATTCATCATCATCATGGCTCAGTATCATCAATCATCATCATCCTCATCATATTCATCATTCATTCATCATCATCGTCATCACCCTCTTCCACTCCCACATCCCCCCGCCCCCTTCCTCTCTTCCCCCCCTCCTCCCCACTGTTGTCCTCTTCCTCAATTCCTCCCTCCTCGCTCCTCGTCCATCTCCTCTTTCCTACTTCCTTCCCCCTCCTCTCCTCCTCTTTCTCATCCCCCTTTCTCCGCTTCCTGCTCTTCCTCCTCCTCCTCGACTCCTACTGCGTGCAAGAAATCCACAACATGTCGCGGGTAGGAGAGAAAGGGAAATCAACGAAAATCTCAGATTGCCTCCGGGTTTTTTCGGGCGTCCTTTTAGGACTTGTCGGGGCCGTCTTAGGGCCTCCTTGGGCGTCCTGGGAACCTGGAAATCATGTTCCGATAGAGGCTTCGGGGAACATGATTTCGGACGCTGCGGAAGAGGCCTCCCGATAATCTCTACAGGCAGCTATGCTTGCCCCCGTTGTGGCTCTGTTGGGTGCCTTTTGGGGCTCTCTTGGGCTGGCTTGTAGTTCTCATGGGTCATATTGGGTCCCTCTTGGGCCGTCTTGGGG